CAGCAGGATAGTTCACTTGCTCAGAGACCCTCTCCTAGGAACCAGGCCAATTCTGAAGGACACTGGAACGTGTTAGCAGTTCACGTTTTCACTAGCATTAAGAATGCTACTATGAACATCGTTATTTATGTTTTTGGTGAAGTTTTGTGTATATTTCCGTTGGTGATTACTTATGAGTGGGAATGACAGGCTATAACTGGTGGCATTTGTTTAGCTTAATAAAAATGGCCAAAGTTTTCCAAAGGGACAGCACCAGCTTATACTCCCAGCATCAGGGTAATGTCAGTTTCCAGTAAAAAGATTGAGGTATAACTGATAAGTAATAAGCTGCTTCAGTGTACAATCTTGTAAAGTGTATTTATTTCCTCCATGAAGATGGACACAGAGGGGGAGAGACAGACAGGCTGACTGACCTCCAGCAGGCTCCCTCATGCAGCAGCTCACCCCTGCACGTGCAGGAAGGTCCCGGGATGCGAACCCCAGACCTTTCCCATGTAGATGCACGTGTGCTACGGCTTTGTCGCTGTCTGGGCAGTCTGATAAGTTCTGACCTACGTATACAGTCAAAAGACTCTGCCACAGCAACACAATGGATGCATTATTCAACTCCAAAAGTTTCCTTTCATTTAATTCTCTGAATTTGTTTTCGTGTTAAAATCAGCCGGAATCTCTTTCTGTTGCTTACAGCTGAATCTTCCAAGATGATCTATTTGCATCTTGAATTTCCTTGCATTTGTGCTCAGCTCGGTTCCCTGCGTTTCTTTCTACTCCAGTACACTTTTGCTGAGCGTTACCGTGCATGCCAGGCACATCGACTGACCTCCCCTGTGTAATCGGCTTGGCCGGATTCCAGCTTCCCTTGGTGCAGCTGTGTCCTCGGGACTCCTGTGAGTCAGCGTACCCTTAATCTCCAGTTCTCACACGCTTCTTCCTGCTCCCAGTTATTCCTGGATTGCCCAGAATCGAGCTTCTCTAGGTCCAATCCTGACAGGCTGCCCTGGATGTTAAGAGAAAGCGTGTCTTCGTCAGCTCTTCATTACGTTGCTTAGATCAATGCCGCGAGTTAAATTGTGCCCTGCGTCCCCGTGCCCAGGACCTCAGAATGTGACTTTATGTAGAGATAGGTCTTTACAGAGGCATCGAGTTAAAATGAGCTTAGGATGGGTCCTGACCAACACGCCTATACCTTCCTGACGGGGATGCGCACACATGGCAGGTACTGGACAAGACACACAGACACTCACAGACAAACGGAAGGAAGGCGGTACGAGGAGACAGAGCGGGAAGATGGCCCTTTGCAAGCCGAGGAGAGACCTGGAGCAGAGCCTTCCCTCGCAGCCCGCAGGAGGAGCCAGCCATGGCCGCACCCCAGGGCAGTGAGACAGTACGTGCATTAGCTCCCCTCTGGCCCACCTGCCAGGAGTCCAGCTACCTGTGGCATGGAAATATTAAATAGGAACTTTCAAAAATAAGCAACTCATACATCTTAAGTTGCATGCTGTTCTGAGTGGTGTGGGATGTGGCCCAGGTGGGATGTGGCTCTGGTGGGACGTGACTCCAGGTAGGACGTGGCTCCGGTGGGATGTGACTCCAGGTGGGATGTGGCTCCGGTAGGATGTGGCTCCAGGTGGGACATGGTCTGGTGGGACATGGCTCTGGTGAGACGTGGCTCCGGTGGGATGTGACTCCAGGTGGGATGTGGCTCCGGTAGGATGTGGCTCCAGGTGGGACATGGTCTGGTGGGACATGGCTCTGGTGAGACGTGGCTCCGGTGGGATGTGACTCCAGGTGGGATGTGGCTCCGGTAGGATGTGGCTCCAGGTGGGACATGGTCTGGTGGGACATGGCTCTGGTGAGACGTGGCTCCGGTGGGATGTGGCCCCTTGCCTAGGGCACCCATGCTGGCTGTGGCACCTGCTCATGAGTCACTCAGCAGGCAGCAGCCATTGGCTGGACGCAGGAGCACTGTGCTAGTGTCCAGGTGGCCCCTGTGCTACTTAGCAGTGGCCGACAAGCACGTGAGTAGGGAGGAGGGCATATTGTTATGGTTGATCTGTTTTATCACTAGCTCCTGCTGTGGACCTTGTAGTATACCTGATTCAAGCTTTATCAGAGATGTGTGTGTGCACCGCACACGTGTGTGCAGGAGAGCACAGCACACCTGGTTCTGCCGCACTGGCACTCGCAGCCTCACCGCGGAAACGACAGGCTTGCTACCGCAGGCCGGGAAGACTCACACAGCCACTTCTCCATCCTTTTCTTATCATGTGGTGTCCAACAGGGAGTGTCTGCTCTTAGAGACCCACTGTTAAAAAAACTAAGGACAGTGAGAAGAGACCTTGGGAAGAGCAGACTGACTGCAGATTGTGTGGCTTTGGCTGTCCGTGAGGCCCTGAGCAAGTCCTGGCGAACTCACCAGGCTCCAGACTCCTTGTCCTTCTCTTTCTGTTGCCTCGAATCGATGAGCGTGACTCATTTTCAGCAGCCATCTGCGCGGCGCACAGGCTCCTTGGCTAGTGGCCGTCAAGATCTGCCTCGCAGTCTGAGAGACTGTTTCTCTCCCAGGTCCTCTCCAAGGGAACGTTTCCAAAACTGCAAGATGAATACGATTTTAAAACAAGTAGGTGCAACGTGTCTTGAAGGCTTCCTGAAATATTCTCACCACCTTTAATCAAGTCACCTGACAAGTCTGCCTTCACAGAACCTCACTTCAGTCGAGTCTTTGAAAGGACTGGGGTTTTCTCTGTAAAATGTGAAATTCCAGAACTCTCATCTGCTCCGATGGTCAAGCTCTGGATTAAAAAGGAAATAGGAGGGATGAAGAGAGGGGCGTGGACTGAGAATATCAAATGAAAAGGAGACAGGAGGGATGAGAGAGGGACGTGGACTGAGAATATCAAACACGCTCAGTGCAGACGGCCTACGGTCCTGCCAGTCCAACCTGCTGGTAAGGAGTGAAGTCAGCGTCTCCCGAAGAGCTTCGTCCCCACTCACCTCCCTCAGGCTAGTTGTACCCACTAATCTCCACCTCCTTTCTCGGTCTCCCGGCCTGAAGTTGAACGTGTTTTCACAAACCGCATCGTTTTTCTCCCAGGCCCTTGGTGGAGCCACTGGAGTCGATACAGACTGCCTCCTGGCAGTGAGCCCACGACCGCCTTCAGAACCCGGCTCTGCTGTTCACGAGTCCTGGTCTTCCGGAGATCAAAGATGCCCTTCCGTGTCTCTGGCCCACCCCCCTCGCTTCCATGGATTGCTGTCACTCCCCCATCTGCAGAAGCCGCCTTTCTTCTTGTTTTTTAAACAGTAGGATAAAGCCCATAGAACATAAAATTGACCATCTTAATCTTTTTTCAAGTGTACCTTCGGTGGCTTTCAGTATAGTGACAACGTCATGCTGCTGTCCACATTATCTAATTCCAAAACGTTTCCAACACCCCCAGAAGGGCGTATTCTCCTTAGCTTTGCATCCTGTTTCCTCCACCCCCTGCCGCAACCACCAATGTACTTCCTGCCCCAGGGATCTGCTGTTCCGGGTATTTTGCATAAATAGAATCATGGAACTTGGGCTTGGTGTCCAGCTTCTGTGCCTTAGCGTGTTTCCAAGGTCATCCATGTTGTAGCATAGGTCAGTATTACTTCTTCATGTACTGAATGTCATCCGTTCTATGATTAGACCATGTTCTGCTTACCCAGTCATTGGGTCATGGACATTTGGATTGCTTCCAGTTGTTTGGCTAGTATAAATAGCTTCCGTGAATATTTATGTTCATATTTTCGCATGAACTTTTAAAAAATTTCTTGGAGTATATGCCTGGGATTAGAATTGGCGAGTCATAAGGTAACTCTATATTTAACTTAAAAAATTATTAATTTAATTTATTATTATTTTAAAAATTTGACCAGAGAGAGGTGGGGGGAGTGAGAAAGCAAGCCACCAGGTCTGGGACTTGAACCAAGGTTGGCCATGTGAGAGTCCAGCACCCCAACCACCGCGCCAACAGTTTAAGTTTTTGAAGAACTCCCAACCATTTGCAGAGTCTTTTGTTCAAGAAGAATAGGACAATGACACTGATGTTGAGGGGAAACTGAGCTGTCAGAAAGGCATGTCTGCCCTGGGGTGAAGATGCAGCATGGAGCCCAGGTGGGTGCCAAGGCTGCGTGTTCGACAATAGCAGGTAGAGAGGGAATTGAAGCTGTCTAGGACGTGCTCCGCTCTGATGTCGCCGTCCTCTTAGGGCACAGCGAGTGGGTGCCGGCAGTGCCCTGCTGTATGGACGGGCGCTGGGCTCAGCGGGAGAGCACAGCTGGTTTGCACGGTCTGCACACAGCACAGCAGGTCGACATGCTGGCCAAGGCCGGAGGTCCAGCTGGAGAAGGGGCAAGGGTGAGAGGGAGCAATTTTAAGAGATATGGTGAATGCAGTAAAATGAGACGTGCCGTAACCGTGTCCCAGAATAAAGGGGCTTTTTTCGTCTCTTTGTCTTAGGAAGGGACTGTTGATTGTGCCAGGTGTTACACAGGCGTCGAGTGAGCACAAGACTCCTGGGCGCAGTGACATTCAGCCATCCTGGATCCTGCCTCCGACCACGGCCCGCTCAGGAGTCCTACCTCAGGAGCAAGCTCTGGTTCCCGAGTTCCTGGCCCTTCTCTGTTTTAATTTTCCGAACAGTGACACAGTGGAGATCTGATTTGGTGAGCGGACTCCTTAGAGAGCTCTGTCTGCTGTTTATTAGCTTGTGATGAAAAACAACTCTGCAGAAACACAAAGTGTGTTCCACTCCGATGTCTGAGATAGAGTCTAGGTTCATAGAAACTCATTTAAAAAAAGATATTTCAAAAAGGCAGTAGCAACTCAAGCTGGTCTTGACAGAGAATTAGGGTTGCTTTAGCAGGTGCACTGAAGTTTTGTTTTTTTCCTTTTTTTATCACAAGTTAGGCAGCCCAAATGTAATTTTTAATATGCCAGTGCACTGTGCGGTGCTCCCGTCAATCATAACAGGGTACTGTCACAGTAAAGAAAGGGCGAGGGATTGAACGGAGCGGAATTTATTAAAGTACGTGGACGCAGACGCCAGTGCTGCATGCAGAGCTCAAGTCTGTAAAACGCTCTCACGTCTATCAGATAAGACAAGGCATTTACTTTCTGCTTCCCAAATGTTTAAAAATACATACAATTTATTGGACAAAATCATACTGCTTTTTCAACTGCTTTTATTATTTTTATTTCTGTAGTTTTTGCTGTAAGGCACATGCACTCATCAGAGAGAAAGAGAGAGATTACCCCCGGGGGAATGACCACACTGCAAGGCCTTCTCTCCATTCTCCTGGGCTCTCGAGCATCACACACACACACCTGATTTTCAAGGCCCCAGGTCTAGGTCTCAAACTTCGGTCGGCCATGTGGGAATCCAGCGATGTAACCACTGCTCCATCCAGCTCCTCCCAACTCCTCTGTGACACAGACCCACAGTGGGAATGCAGCTGTTATTCCGGGAGGTGATTCCTAATTTGGTGGTGAGGCCAGCTGGGGTGGGGGCAGAGGAAGAGAGAGACAATTCAAATCCAGAAATTCAGATGCAGTGTGACTGGGTGTGGGTGAGGGGCAGGTCATGATACCTCTAACCTCCACCCCAAGCCCAGTACTGGGGAAAGCTGTGGAGTAAGGAGAGAAGGTGAGAGTGGTAATTGCATGACCTCTCGGGATGCCGTCTGGTGTTATAGAAAATGTAATTGAACAATAAAATTACGTAAATACATCACACTCAATGTGTGGGGAAAGGAGGCTGCAGGAATTGTTCAGCATCTAGCACCAGCCAGCGTTCTTGGCATCTCCCTCCAGACACGAGGTGGTCACTGCTCCCCCGGCCCCGCGTCCGATGGTGCAGGGTGAAGGAGGGGAGCATGGACTGGATGCACAGAGACAGTAACAGGTGAGTCTAACACGGCCACAGGGAGCAGGGACAGCGGGACTGGAACGGGCGTGTCCTTCCACAAATGGAGGACGTGTGGGTGAGACTAAGAGAATGAGAGGAGGGAGGAGAGAAATGGGGGCCCACGTGCAAATTGGCCTCTTATCTACCCTGGATAGAAGCCATTATTTGGAGGAAGCAAAATGAAAACCAATCACATGCAGTTTCCTTCCAATCCAGAACTGTGGATTTATAGAAAACTTGGATCTGGGCCATCCTGGGGGCCACAGTAAGCTGACAGCATTTCCGTGGAGGCTGTCATCAGAGTAGCGAGTAAAAGCTACACAATGGCTCAATTCAAACATTTTAAGAAGCAAAACGGATTCTACTTGCATTATGTAGGCTTTTAGTAGAACCCCAAATTTCACTTCACAGAGGCTCACAGGATGACTCCCTCCGTGTCAGACCCCCTCTTCTCTCGGCCTTTATGCTCTCCTCGGTAAAGCAGCGCCACACTGTCCAGCCTCGTTTTGCCGTCGTTCTCAGCCTGGCTTCGACTGCTCCCTGTCAGCTCAGCACTGCTCAGCTCACTTTTCAGGGAACAGATTGTTTCAATGTGAGCACCGAGTGGCCAGGCCCAGTCCCAGGAAGACCCTTCGTTATCAGGAAGAGACTTCTAGCACAGCTGTGGCTTGCGAACTTTAGCTACCCTCACATTATGCATGTCATGGCCTGGCGGCGAAGTTGGGTGTTAGGCACCAGGAGTTGGGTCCCACGTGGCCAGCTACGGCTCGAGGACCAGTGTGGGTGGCGTAAGAGACATGCAGGATGTGTGTGTGTGTGCCCAAGATCCTGAGGGGATGAAGAAACGGAGGAAGGGTTGCAGTGTGGCCACACCCCATCGGGGGGCTTGCTTTCTCCCTTCTCCTGGTGAGCACATGTGCCCTCTGGCAATTAAATCAGAAACTAAAATGCATACAGGTACCTATCAGAACTGACGGACACAGGTGAGCTTTCTGACTACGGGGCTGGCAGAGCGCAGGACGGCCCGGTGCGGAAGGGCATGGCTCTGGGCCTGGGCGTGTGGGGCTCACTGCTGTCCCACCTGCTCCTGAGGCTCCAGCAGCCATGGAGTGACACGTGCTTCGGTCTTGTCCCCTACGGAACGAGAACAATGTCATTCGCTCCCCAGGGTGCTGCGAGGGGTAAATTCGTACCTCCAGAGGCCAGCTGTCTATTGTCATGTTGCCAGACAGCGACATCGAAGCCACCGCTGCTCCGGACAGCCGCCGCCTTCTGACTGGTTTCTTTGTCGTCTCTGCCTTTGCCCTGCCACGCGGCGGCCAGACTTCGTGCATGACGTCGACCGATGGTCTGTGAGCCACAAGAACCAGTACCTCTTTTTTTTTTCCTAGGGTACACACACGCTCACCGGAGACAGAGAGAGAGGGAGAGGGGAAAGCACCCCCAGCCCCCATAAGCAATGTCACACTGCAACCCCTTCTCTCTCCCTCCTGTTGGGGCTTTGGGCATGCATGCACACCCACCCCAGGCGGTCCCCAGGCTGCCTGGTCCAGGACTTGAAGTGTACAATTGGCTGTGTGAGAGCCTCTGCCTTATCCAATAGGCACGGAGCTGGCCAATAAACCTCTTATGATCAGTTTCCCAGTTTCAGTTATTGCTACGAGCAGCACAGTAACAGACTAACACGACTGCTGTCCAGAACCTCCAAACAGTACCCGAGTGGTGAGAATGGACAGCCTGTCTTGGTCCTGATCTGTGGCAGAAAACGTGCTTTTTCATCAAGCATGGTGTAAGTTATGTGTTTTTAGTAGATGCCTTTTATGAGGTTGAGAGTTTTGTTTTTTTTAATTTCTAGTTGCTAGAGTGTTTTTTCGTGAATGTCTGTTCCCCACCCCCTTGTTTATCTGAAATGCTGCGTCCTCAGTGAAGCTCACTTTGAAGCCCTGTTAAGTCTGTGATCCACTTCCACCTGCCACCCTCACCCTACTCTGCTCGGTTTTCATAGTAGCTATAATCATCTCCTACCATACCAACTACTTCACTGACTTACCATATGCATTCTTTTTTAAGAGAAATTCTACAGGGCACATGTGCTTGCCAGAAAGAGCCAGAGAGAGCCAGAGAAGGAAAACGAGAAGGCAGCCCCTGGGGGGATGGCCACGCTGGTCCCTCCTCCTTCACCCTCCTCTCGGTATTTGGGGCACGCACACACCTGTGCCCGGCCAGTTCTGGGCAGAGTGTGCCATTGGCCCTGTGGGATCCAGCTCCCTGTACCCAGTGCCACGAGCTGGCTCTATGTTTATGGTTTACTGTGTCCTTTGCCGAAACAGACGCTCCCCAAGGTTGGCACTTCCTGCTGCTGCTGCTTTTTTCCTAGCCGATCCATGCCATGTCTAAAAAGTCTAGAACACTTTGATAACTGTGGAATAAACCTATTGGTGTAAACTGTTTAGGTCAGTGTATTTCTGCCCCAGCCAGTGCCTGGTGGTTGGGGTGGCCAGATCCCACACGGCCAATGCTGCATGAACTATGTGGGTCAAGTCTTGGATCTGGTGACTTGGGGGACATGCCGGGCATGGGTGCGTGCATGCCCAAAATCCCAAGAGGAGAATGGAGGAGAGGGCCATGCAGCATGGCTATCTCCCTCTCCCACTCCCGCCCCCTTTCCCAGTGGGGTGCTTTCTCTCTCTCTCTCTCTCAGTCTCTCTCCAGTGAGCACTTGTACCCTATGGCAAAACCAAACCAAACCAAAACCAAACAAAGCAAACACAGTGTTTTCCTCAGTAGTGACTGCTTTACGTTGTTGTCATTTTCCCTTCAGTTAGACAGCGATTCAAGTACGGGGCCAGAATCGCACCGCCATCGGGTTCAGACCTCTGCCAGACACGCTTTCCTGTCAGACCACTAGGAGTCTGGTCTTCTATCTGTAAAACACAGAAGAGGGAGCCAGCAGTTAGCGTAATGGCTATGTCGCTGGACTCCCACGTAGTCGACCGTGGTTCGCGTCCCGGACCCGGTGGCTTAAAACTCACGCCGGGCACGTGTGCGTGCGTGCCCAAGATCCCGAGAGGAGAATGGAGGAGAAGGGATTGTGGCGTGACCATCCCCCCTGGAGGGTGATTTCTCGCTTTCTGTCTCTATGTCTCTCTCTGTCTGGTGAGCGCATGCGCCCTATAGCGAAAAACCTCTCAAAAGAAAAGAAAAGAAAAAAAAAAACACAGAAGAGAACACCTCCCTGTTTGCTCACAGGTGGCACAGCAGTGACGTAAACTAACGTACGGAACGTGACTCAGGCAAGGTCGGCGTTTCTGTGGGGCCTTGGGGCATCTGTCCATGTGTGCTGGCACAGTTTTCAAGCTGCTGGGGCCAGGATTCAAACTGTGGTTGCCTAAGTGGGAGTCATGAGGCTACAGGGCTGCTCTCCGATGGCTCTCCCACTGGTCTTACGTGAGGCCACTCATGCAGCTCTGTCGGCGGGTTGCTCCACGAGGGCTGGGTGATCCACGGCGGCCTTGCTGGCTGTCTCTGGGCCCTGCTCCGTGGCGCAGCCTCACGGTGGAAGCTGGCCCGGGGGCTTACGTGGCAGCTGCTGGGCCGCAAGAGGGGGAGTTCAAGTCACATAGCACGTTGAGACCTGGGCCTGGAGCTCCGTTCATGTCACCTCCGCCTTGTTCTTTTCACCACGTGAAGTTCAGAGTGGGAAAAGATTTTACCTTTGTTGGGAGGAGCAACAAGGCAGCCCTGGCCAGGGGCCTCCGTCCCCCCAGGAGGATTTGTGGTACCGCAGTCTCCACGCCTCCTGGCCACGTGGCATGGCTAGCTCGCTAGCACGTTGGCATCTCAGTCTCAGGTCTATTCGCCATTGCAGCCATGTGGCTGCCGCGAGGCACTCCAGGCCTCTGAGCCAGAAACCCTGCGAGTACCTTAACAGGCCCTAGGCCGCTCCGATGCAGACGCAGGCTGGGAATCACCATTCAGGAGCTGTCTTCAGGGTGGACCTGTCCCGGCTACGGAGTCCACAGTCAGGGACCAGCAGACGCAGGGATACAGAGGCTGACCATCTGTCTCAAACTGAGACAGAGCTGAGGGGCTCTCAACAGCCAGAGCTCCCGCGGGAGCCGGGCTGTCACTGAGGCCAGCCTCTGCCTCTTCCACACTGAGCCTTTCCCTCTCCTTCACCCACGTGCGTCCTAAGAGCACCCTCGATGACTCTTCTGCACACGACTCTGCGGTGTCAGAGCCTGTCTTCAGGGAACTGAGCCAAAACGTATCTGAACTGACACGTGCACAGGGCTGCTTTACAATAG